AAAAAAAAAAAAAATGAAAAAGGGGGTGTTCCATAAGAGATACAATAAAAGGCAAAAAAAAAAAAAGAGGAAAAATGAAAAATGTATAAATATTAAACAAGTGATGCTTTGACTCTTTCTGGCTGTCCCGGGTTGTCCTTGGTGTACTCGGTGCGCGCACCCTTTCCATTCTGGGCCGTGAGGGGAAGAGGCCGTAGGGCAGGCGGCCACAGGCATCAGGAACCTCAGCACCTCGGAGGCATGGGGGTTTGCTGAGGCCTTTACCACAGACGTCCCCCCAGGGGCACTCCGCCTGCATTCGGAGGCCGCCTGGGGTTGTCATGTCTGGGGAAGCTGCTGCGTGGAGTGAGTAGGTGGGGCAGGGCGCTGGGAAGACCCCCTAGACGACGACCCAGCCCCGATGTCAGCAGTGCCGAGGGGGGAGCCAGTGGCTCGGGCTGAGCTCTGGGTCCGGGCCCTTGCCCGCAGTGCCCCTGGTGGCTCTGGACACCTCCCCTCCTTCGGGGGGGCCATTGCACACCCTGGGTCTTTATTCCTGCCTTGCAGATGCTCATCGCTGCCTACATCCTCCCCACATGGACCGCGGCATCCCCTTCCTCTAGGAAGCCTTCCCGTCTTTCCCCAGCCGGGCTCCCTCCCAGCAGTCTCTGTACTTCCCAGGGTTCCCCATCAACAAATGCCACCAGCGCCGATGGCGCACCTGCTCCGTGCAGGCGCAGGGAATTTCACATCCCTGTGGCACCCCAGGGACGAGGCCTGGCCCGGTCGGTGTTCCTTAAATGCACAGAACGCCTTCCCTCTCTTTTTGCACAAGGCAAACTCCCATTCACCCAACCAAGATTTTCCGAGCATTGCTAAGAACTGGGTACTGGGGACACAGTAAAGAAGAGAATGCTCCAAATGAACTGGCTTCATGGCACTCGCATGTCCGAGTTGTGCACCAGATGGTAAACTATAAAAATACAGTGTACTTGAGACACGGCAAGTGCCAGAGAGACAAAGCAAAGTAGGGGATAGGAGAGTGGGCCTCCCTGGAGGAGGTAACATTTAAACAGGCTTTAATAGGAGGAGGAATAAGCCCCCTGAAGATCTGGGCAGAGGGCATAGCCGTGCAAAGGTCCTGGGGCAGCACTGGGCCAGTATGTGGGAGGAACAGTGACAAGGCCCCATAGGTCTGGAGCAGAGCTCCTGGAGGGGAGAGGGGAAGGAGGGAATGGATGGGCAGGTCACGCAGAGCCTGGGCAGGACTGGGGCTTTGCCCTGGAGGGAGGCGAGAGCCCTGGAGG